ATATATATCTCATGAGGGGGAGGAAGTCTCACTTGAGAAAGTCTCACTATGTAGCCCAGGTTGGTCTTGAATTCATGATCCTCCTGCCTTTGCCTCCCGTAGTGGTAGGATTAAAGACAAGTGCCACTATGCCTGTATACTGAATATACTGAAGTCAAAACAAATTTACAAAAAGCACAAGTTAATGACAAGATCTCTAATACAACACTCTGTTGACATTTCCACTTAAGAGCCACAAAAATTTAACTGCAAGGTAAAAGGCAGCTTTCTACCTTCACAAGCTACCACAAGACATGATGGTAAAACTGTGACCTGGGGCAATGGTCTGCATGGTCACTGACCTGACTACACATGCAGTGGAACATGGTGACGAAAGGAGACAAATGGTTGCAAGTGGAGAGAATATTGACAGTGAGCCAGGCCTTGAGAGGATGTGATCAGATTAGCCAACAATGCAGAAAGGTCTTCTGTAGACAGAGGCAGCCAGGCTCCTGCCACCTTCTTGGAACACAGACAGGGCTAAGAAGAAACAGTCTCCCAAACCCTTCACACCTCACCTTTCCTTCCTACACTTGACTCTCCAACTTGTCACTGAGATCACTTACAGGTTCACCAGCTAGTTTAGTGAATAAAAATACATTTGTCCTTTCCTAGAGTGTGATGCTAGACCAAGCCATTAATCATTCTAATATAGGTCACTAAGTCAAGAGCACACACACAGCTGGTTTTTAGATACTACTTGGAAAAACCTTCTTAGTAATATCTACCTGGTTGTTGCCAACGATTTTTTCCCCCACCTAAGACTGAACCTCAAGAACAGAACATGAACTATTTTTTTGGTCTTTTTGAGACAAGGTCTCCCTGTAGCCCCAGCTGTCCTGGAACTCACTATGTAGAACAGGCTGGCCTTGAACTCACAGAGATCCACCTGCCTCTGCCTCCCGAGTGCTGGGATTAAGGCGTGCGCCACCACACCCAGCCTCAGAACACGAACTTTTAAAAAACAATTATTTTTTAATATTTTATTTACTATTTGTATTTTTATGTGTATGAGTGTATTGCTTGCATGTGTGTACGTGCACACATGTCATGCAATATCCACAGATGTCAGAAGGGGGGGGTCATTAGATCCCCTGGATCTGGAGTTATGAATGGTTGTTAGTCACCATGTGGGTGCTGGGAATTGAACCCGAGTCCTCTGCAAGAGCAGTCACTCTCTTAACCATTGAACCACCTCTCTAGTCAGAACATGAACTCTTAAACACTTTCCTGCCCTTCAAGAGAATTCTGTTTCTGCTTATCCTTTTCTTATCTTGGGAGAAAATGTGATCAACCAGACTACTTGGCAAGAACTTGCCTCTTAAGCAATTCATCTTGCCAAAGAGCCAGCTATATCTAATAATAACCACATTTCCCTTTCAATTAAAGACAGCATCAGAGCCAAGACACTCCAGAATCTGGTCATTTCCACATTTTCTCACTATGTATTATGACATGCCTTAACATGTCATGCCAGCCACATCTAAATACACACTGTTCTCTGACCACACTATTCCATTTTCTGCCTCGGAGCTTTTATTAATACTATTCCTGTGAGATGAGCCTAGGCCTCAATTCCACACCCACTGACCACCAGTAGAACCCTAGCCATCCCACACTCTAAGGCCAAACACACCTTTGCACAAATCCCTTTTCCTTGCCTAGCTGCAATTTTTTTCATTTTTGTATTCATGAATTTCTTGTATCTGTTATAGAACTTCGCATTCATACCTATGTTAGATTAAGTATGTATGTGCCTATTATCCAGGGAGATTGTACAGTAGAAAAGGATGTGTCCCTGTGCCCCATTTTTCTATCTTCTCTTCCTAGAAATACACTGTACATGTAAGAACCCTCAACAAAAGTTTGAAATTTAGATTTGAAAAGTGGAAAGAAATTGTATGTATGAATAAAGTAGCCAAAATGAAACGGAACTATTATCCTGTTCAAATACACCTTTTGCTCTCATATACACTCACCTCTAGCTTGATGGATTTGGTGGACAGGTGGTCAGACATAAACCTATGCTGCAACTCTGCCTTTGAGCGCTGTGGACGTGTTCCCTATAGTTAGAAGTGAGGAAAAGAAAGGAAAAGATAGATTAGGGTACTCTCAGCTCTGCTGCTGCCATCACACTGAAGCTATCAGTAGAATGACCACTGAGGCACACAGGTAGGTAATTTATTTAGATGATCAGGAAAACAGGTATTCAGCTGGTCAAGATACTAAGCCAGTGTATTTTCTTAACACAAGAAGCAAACCAAAAGCCACACACAACTAAGCATTTCCTATGACAATCTTCATCACTGGCAAGAGACTCCTAGGATGGTTTCAACACTAGGAAACCTCTTCCTTCAGCTGGACGTGGTGGGGCATGCCTATAATCCTAACTTTTGGGAGGCCAAGGAAGAAAGCTCTTCTGCTTAAAATTTTTTTAGGCAGGCTCTCCCTAGAACTTGTTATGAAGACCAAGCTGGCCTCCATTTCACAGAGATCCACCTACCTCTGCCTCCCAAGTTCTGGAATTAAAGGCAAGCACCACTACGCCTGGCTGGCTGAAGATTTTGAGTTTCAGGCCAGTCTGGGCTACAAAGCCAGGCACTGTCTTAAACAAACTAACAAAACACAATCCCCAAACCTCACAAACCAAACATAGCAACAACAAAACCAAAACACTCTTCCATATACCACAATAAAAAATTACATTTCTCTCCAAATGCTAAAACGGAGGCTGTGTTGTTATCACTTTCAGCTGAGGGAATGGTTCTAAAGGCGCATTGGGAGCAGCTGTAAGTCAGAATCTTTAAAAGGCAGGCAGGAGCTGGTGAGAAGTTCAGAGGATAAAGGGTGCCTGCTACCAAGCCTGATACCCTGAGTTCCAGCCCCTAAACCTACATATGGAAGAAGAGAGCTGACTTTTGTAAACTGTCTCCTGACCTCCCCAAGTATGGTGTGGCAGAAGAGTGCGTGCACGCGTGTGCACACACACACACTCTAAAGAAAATGAAATAAAAAGAAATGTAAAATCAGTGAGCACCAGGAACAGTGAGAGACCCTGTCTCAGAAAAAAAGGGTAGCATGTGACTAAGGGAGACAGACATCTGATGTCTTCCATGCACACATGGACCTGTGAAAACATAGGCACATACAATTTGGTTCTGGAACTACTTAATACAAAGTCTTGACTTCTCAGAGAATCAATGAAGTAAACAATCAAAGGAAAAGAAAAAACACCCCCCACAAACTCAATGGAAATAAGGACTGATTTAGAGTTTAGACATGATGCAAAGTCAGCTTTTGTTTCCAAGACGTAATGAACAGTTCTCAGTGCAAATGTAATTATGAGTTCCAAAGGATGCCATGACCCTCTTCCCTTCTCAAGTACTTTCCTTCTAAAGCTCCCCAGTTTCCTCAGTGAGCCTGTAAGCAACTCCTACAGAAAGCAAGATTCTAACAAAGACCTCTTACACTTTAAATAATTAGCATAGAGCTGTCTAAAGAAAATCTTGTCAGTTTACCATGTGAATAGCACAAGAAGCCAATACCAGTTTTACTCCAGCTCTGTCACATTAGATAAAAGTTACAAAAGAGAGCTGGGTGTGGTGGCGTGCACCTGTAGTCCTAATACTTGTGAATTCCAGGCCGGCTGGGGCTACAGGAAGACCCTGTCTCAAAAAGACCAAAAAACAAAAAATTACAAAAGAGAAATTCTATATTCTTTGTTTTATTTATTCTATTTTATGTGTATGCATGTATTGCCTACATGTGTGTAAGTGCACATGTATCATGCAATGCCTATGGAAATCAGAGGAAGGCGTCAGATCCCCTGGAACTGGAGTTACAGATAGTTGTTAGCTGCCATGTGGGTGCTGGGAATCGAATCCAGGTCCTCCACAAGAGAAGTCAGTGCTCTTAACCACCAAGCCATCTCTCCAGCATCTCAATATTCTTTTTTTCATGGTGGGGTGGAGTGGGGTTCTGTGAGAGGGTCTCTCTGTAGCACCAGCTGGACTGGAACTTGCTGTATAGACCAGGCTGGCCCTGATCTCAGAGATCTACTTGTCTCTGCCTGACAAGTGCTGGGATTAAAGGCATGTGCCACCATGCCTGGCTTTTTTTTTTTTTTTTTGGACTAAAAATTTCTAAAAAATTTGTGTAGGTGTGTGTCTGTGTATCCCATGTGTACACAGTTGCCCACAAGTGTGGTGGTTATAAGCTGCCGGATGTGGGTGCTGGGAACCGAACTCCATCCCATGGCAAAGCAGCAAGTGCTCTTAAATGCTGAGCCCTCTCTACAGCATGGAATGTGCTCTTTTTGATATAGAAAATGAGTTTCTCTATATAAAATACTATCACCTTTTGTGAAAACAATTTAAATCCATTTAATTGTTAATTTCTGTACTGCCACCAAACACTTTTACTAGACTACATCTTCCTCGTTTTCATTTTTTTTTAAAGGTAAGGCTTTCCTAAATAGTTTAGCCTGGTCTAGAACTCCTGGCAACCCCCTTGCTTCAGTCTCCAGAGAGGTGAGATCACAAGTAGGTGCCACCACATCCTTGCTTAACTTTAATTAGAAAAGTATAACCTTAACACATTCAAAGCAGGCCTTATCTCTTGATACTTTCAAATTTATTATATTCCAGAGATGATCAAATCTTTTCTCTTCTTGGCTTAATTTTGTTAAATATAGATTTAGTTTCCTACCAAGATTTCTCATCTATTGCTCATCACTATGAACAATGGAGGGGACTGGCTGTTTACATGGATTCTTTTATTTAATTCCTAAGTTTTTGTGCAAAGATAGTGAGTGGTTCACTTTTGTTAACTAGAAAACTGAAACTGAAATACAGAGATACCAAGTACCTACCCATAGGATCACAAAGTGGGGTGACTCCTTAATTGAAGAGAGTCTGAAGAAAAGTGCCTGTTCCCCTACAGTTTCACTTGACCCCTTGGTCCACTATTCAGGTTTATATGTCTCTTTTACAGAGTTTTAGTATGTAAATTTGATGAGTGTATCTTTTCTACTGATCAATGTTCAATTTTACATATGAGAAATATCTTGCATTATTAGTTCAAAATACTTTTTGTCTGATTTACCAAGCATGGGAACTGGTAAGTTAACATAGATCAAGCAGAAAAATTTAAAGAGGCATTTCAACCACTTAGCCATATAAATGTACTGATCAATTGTATATCAATAAATTGTAGGATGCCCCAGTTGGTATGTTTGTGTTGTGATCTGATTACATAAATACCTCAAACTTTCATCTGGTCTTCAAGTCTTAATTTATTTTTAGTGAAAGTAATCTCTAACAAACACTTGAAAAGTTAAAAGCAGAACTCAGTTAAGCTCCCTCTCAATCTTTTACCCTAATTTGAGAGTCAACTTTTCAGAAGTAACCCATTCTTTTGGGCACAGGGGTGAAGTGAGTTTGAGACAGGGTCTCAACTCTACAGACCTGCCTGGCATGAACTTGTTGTACCAAGACCAGGCTGGTCTGGAACTTTTCAGCCCCATCTCTGCCTCTCAAGTGCGGGAATTACAGTTGTGTTGCCCAGCTTCATTTTTAAAGATTTATTAATCATTGTGTGTGTTTATGGTATGTGTGAATGAGGTAGTATACATGTTGCAATGTGTTTGTGGTAGTCAGAGGATGACTTTGGGGAGTCAGTTTTCTCCTTCCACGGGAGGTTCCAGGGATTGAATTCAGGTTGTCAGGCTTGTGTTGTAGGTGCTTTCACTCAATGAGTCATCTCACTGACCTAATTATTTTTTTTATTTTAAAATATTTTTATTTTATGTGCATGAGTGTTTTGCCTGAACATATGTAAGTGCACCACGTAGTCCTCAGAGAGGGTGTTGGATCCCTTGGAACTGGAGTTAGGGACAGTTGTTGTCATATAGGTACTGGGTACTGAACCTGGATCCTCTGCAAGAGCACCCAGGACTCTTAACTGCTGAGCCATCTTTCCAGTTCCACCCAATTTTAACAAAGTTTTTATTGGGGCTGGAGAGATGGCTCAGTGGTTAAGAGCAATGACTGCTCTTGTGAGGACCCAGGTTCAATTCCCAGCACCCACATGGTGGCTACAAACCGTCCTTAACTCCAGTTCTTGGGGAATCTGAAGCCCTCTTCTGACCTCTGAGGCATTGCACGGCATGAGTGCACTCACATACATGCAGGCAATACACTCATACACATAAAATAATAAAAATAATAAAATATTTTAAAAAGTTTTTATTATTAACTGATGATTTATTTTGTGTGTGTGTGGGGAAGCGGAAGGATGTGTGAGGTGGTTAGAGGACAAGCTTTCAGAGCTGGTTCTCTCCTTCTAACATGCAGGTCCCAGGTCATTACGCTTGGCGGCAATTGCCTTAACCTGCTGAGCCTTCTTAGATGGCCCAATTTTTAAATAATTTCTTTGAGGTGGTACTTGGTCCTCTGGGCGGGGCATCACAGTTTTGAAAGGAGACAGTTGTGATCAGTGGCCTGAGAGCCTCACAAGATGGGGCCTATTAACATTCTTTCCTGTAGAGAACCTCTAACCCGAGATTCCACCCCCTCCCAGCAACTGCATATAATCCTACCCTAAGTGCACATGACCTTGGGTGGTGCTAGAATATATAGGAGGTAGAAAGTTAATTGGGGCTGTGACTCTAGAAATGCAGCTTTTGTGCATTGTGATTTATGCTGGGATGGACTTTTATGGTGATGCAGCTACCCAGTGTCCCCATGCTTCTGTAAATAATACCAGTAAACTGAAATGGTCAACAAGACAGACTTGGATGGAATTGCTTCTGTTGATGTCCTATCTGGAAGTGAACAGCTGTTTCTGGGTTATTTCCTTAGGGAAAGTCAGGCAATATTCTTCCACTTAAAATTTTTTTAAGAGTGTATATGTGGGTCGGTGCATGTTGAGTGCAGTGACCTTGGAGATCGGAAGAGGGTGTCGGATCCCCTGGAGTTGGAGTTACCCAGAAAACTGAACTCAGGCCCTCCTCGAGAGTTGTATGTGCTTTTTTTCTTTTTTAAATAATTTATTATCTTTAGTGTATGAGTGCATTGCCTGCATGTATGTGAGTGTACTCATGTCATACAATGCCTCAGAGGTCAGAAAAGGGCATCATTCCCCTGGAACTAGAGTTAAGGATGGTTCGTAGCCACCATGTGGGTACTGGGAATCGAACCCGGGTCCTCTGCAAGAGCAGTCAGTGCTCTTAACCACTGAGCCATCTCTCCAGCCCAATTTAAAAATTTTAGTACATAAAAACCAACTGGAAAGGCTCTAAACTGTCAGGGTGACTTCAAATAATTCTGATGGCTGGGCACATTGTATTGTTTTGAAAAGCATGGCAACTGATTCTGATGCAGTAATCTAGTCATCTGGCACTGTTTGAAAATCCTACTAAACACATTTTAATCAGGTTTATAGTCTCCAGACAAATATTCTAAAATTTTACATTTTGCATTCCTTTCGTTGGAGGTTGGGGATATAGCTCAGTGAGTTGAGTATGTGCCTAGCATGCTTAAAGGCCTGGGCATGATTCCCAGTTTCAAAAAAACTCAATTTTTACATTACACTGGACAAGACTTCCAAAATAGTATTACTAATATTATATTTCCAGTATAGCCTTAATGGGTTATAATACATTTTTCTTTGGCATGGAGACAGCTTTCATATGCTAGTATTAACCTGACGTGTATTACTGAATGAGATTGTGTTTAATTTTATCAGATGGGGATCACAGATATCTGTGTGCAAATTAACAGGACACATCTACCTATTTTTTCCATATCAATTCTGTTTTTATGTTTGTTTTTTCCAATGTTTGGGATAGGATCCAGGATCCCATGTGCACTAGGCTAAGGCTTGACCACTGAATCCAGCCCTCTTATTTTTAAATATTTGAAAAAAAATCATCTATTCGGTGAGGGCATAGAAAATGTTGCTTTGTTTTGCTTTTTTAAAAAAAAGATAAGCTGGAAGGTGGCGCATTATCTTTAATCCCAGCACTCAGGAGGTAGAGGCAGGCAGATCTCTGTGAGTTCAAGGCCAGCCTGGTCTACATAGTGAGTTCCAGGACAGCTGAGGCTGCAGGGAGACCATCTCAAAAAGACCCAAAAAAAAAAAAAAAAAAGATAGGTTTTTTGCCAGGCATGGTGGGTACATGCATCTAATCCCAGCACTTGAGAGGTAGAAGCAGATGGATCTCTGTGATAACAAGGCCAGCCTAGTCTACAGGGAGCCCCTGTCTTGAAAAGAACGAAGTTAATAAGATAGGTCTTTCTTGGAACCTTCCTGTCTGGTCTGGAACTATGTAAGTCAGGCTGTTTTTGAACTTGTGTGTAGACCCTCCCCTGTCCCTACCTCCCGAGTGCTGTAATTACAGGCTTGTACTATTATGCCTGGTCCTGATTTTGTTTTTTTTTGTTTGTTTTACCATTATATATTTCCCTATATATAATGGTATTTTAAAATAATGTTCCCTTTAGTGGCTGGCTAGAGAGATGCCTCAGGGGTTAACAGCACATACTGTTCTTCCAAAAGACCCCAGTTTGGTTCCCAGCATCAACTTCAGGCAGCTCTCAACTGCCTGCAACTCCAGTTCCAGAAGGATCTGATGCTCTCTTCTGGTTTCCACAGGGACCTGTACTCACCTGCACAAAGCCACACAGAAATACACATAAATAAATCTTTTGAAAAAGTTCCCTTTAGATTATCTATTAATCATCAGATCTATTATCAGTATTACTGAAATGGAATAAGCAAACTCAATTATTATCAACGTTCCATCACAGAAAATGTATTATACTAGGTGCTGTGCAGGTTATAAAGAAGTGTAAGATATGGCTCCTGAGCACCAAAGAAGCTTAAACTGGCAACACAATAAAGCAAAGCATGAGAAACACTTAGGGAAGAAATTCATGAATGAAAGAAATGAACAGCTCACAGACCTGATGGCTCTGAAGTGGAGCACTTTGTTTTTTAAAATGTTATTTATTTTGGGCTGGCGAGATGGCTCAGTGGTTAAGAACATTGGTTGTTCTTGCAGAAGACCCGGGTTCAAATCCCAGCACACACATGGTGGCTCTGAACCGTCCTTAACTCCAGTTCCAGGGGAATCTGATGTCCTCTTCTGACCTCCGTGGGACTGCATGACACGGGTGCACTCACATACATACAGGCAATACACTCATACACATAAAAGTTATTTTTATTTTATGCATGAATGTTTTGCCTGCATATATGAAAGTGCACCTGTGTACGCAATGCCTGTGGAGGCCAGAAGAGGGCACTGGGTCCTCTGAAACTGGAGTTAAGGACAGTTGTTAGCTGCCATGTGGGTGCTGGGAACTAAACCCAGGTGCCCTGCAAGAGCAGCCAGTGCTGATAACTGCTGATCCATCGCTCTATGTCCTGTTTGGTTTTTTTTGAAAGACAAAGTCTTACTATGTAGCCCAGGTTGGCCTTAAACTCATGATCCTCTTGTATCAGTCTCTTGAGTGCTAGGATTACAGGTGTGTACCACCAGGCCTGGTTTGAAGTGCAACTTAAAAAAAGTATTATGTATATCTGTGTCTTTGGGGGGTGTATGTAAGTAGGTGCCTTTGGAGTTCAGAAAAGGGTGTTGAATTCTCTGAACCTGGAGTTACTGGCAGTTATGAGCCACCTGGCATAGGTGCTTGGAACTGAACTCAGGTCCCCCCTGCTCTTAATTCCTGAGCCATCTCTTCATCCTAAAGTGGAGCTTTTGAGTAACATTCAAAGGGTAAGGAAGAGGGGGCAGGAAGATGTTTGAAATATGGTTTATGAACCAGGTTAAACTGGCACTTGGACTTAAAAACAGATCCTAAGATTATTTTTGTTTAAGATAGAAAAATAAAGGGGAAGGAGAAGCAGCTTAGGACACATTTCCTGGTAATATGTTATAGGAAAAGAAAAGCTACTTTGAAGCCAAGTTTTTAGTCATTCTAAGAACTGGTGGGTGTCGAGCACAAAGAGTTCCAGAGGTAAGGAAAACATATATGAACCACAATAAAGGATAGGAGGTACATGGGATTCCATATTAACATTCCAGTTCAGATAGATGACAACCTGCACCACTTCCAACAGTATGTTCAACAGTTCCAATGGCAGTGTAGTGTAAGACCTAACAAGTAGGGAGGACTACCTTCTGGGCGATCATGTTGCAGATCTCAGGCAGGAAGTCCTCACTGAGGAGCTTATAGAGCTGTCGCTCTCTGAGGGAGGTCCTCTCTCGAAAACTCTCAGTGACCTGTCTCCACTCTTCTTCCGTTTGACATAGGAGCCACCAAGTACCTTGGCCTGGTCCTCGGGACCCTACAGAAAAGAGAGATGGATTCACCTCAATAGATGTTGCTAAGATATTTTGTTTCTACTATCCTGGGTCATGACTAAAATAAAAGAATAGGAAACGGGCTGGAGAGACGGCTCAGCAGTTAAGATCACTGACTGCTCTTGGAGAGGACCTGGGTTCGATTCCCAGCACCCACATGGCAGCTACGAACCAGCTATGACAGGTACACTCACATACATGCAGGCAATACATGCATACATTAAAAAAAAAGGAGATTAATTTTTTTAAAAGTATTTTTAATTTTACATGTATTAGTGTTTTGCTTGCATATGTATTTAAGTGAATCACATGTGTGCATTGCCTGCAGGTCAGAAGAGGCTGTCGGATCCCCTGGGACTGGAGTTACAGACAGTTAGCTGCCGTGTGGGAGCTGGGATCTGAAACCTGGGTCTTCTGCAAGAACAACCAGTGTTCTTAACAGTTGCGCCCTCTCTCCAACCCCAACCACTCTAATTTTTTAAAGGCTGACAGTGCACAAGTTCTGTTTTTAGGATGGGATCCTAATATGAGCTCAGGATACTGTCAAAGTCCAGAAATCAAGTGATCCTCCTGCCTTAGCCTCCCCCAAGTGCTGGGATTACAGGCTGTTACCTGATTGATAATGCACTTTTAATTTTCCTATCACTGTCATTGTTAGCACTTAAGTACCTAGAGACAATACAACCATAGACAGCTATTGTGACTTAAGATATCAATATTCTAGAAATGCTTAAATGTATTTTTCTAGAAAAAATGGTTTTGAATTTGAGACTTGGTAGAAATTTATGTCTTATCCCATTTATCATGACTTTGCAACTGATTATTTCCTCCCAAATTTATACCATTTGGATTAATGAATTAAAATCTAACTAGCAGTACAAGTCCCTGATAGCTCTCTGAGAAGCTCATTGTTCAAAGGTGTATTTGAATTTTTCTATATACTGTGCCACATGGTAGAGCATCAGACCTACTGTGAACAGACCTATTTCTGACAATGTGCCTGTAAGCTGGAGTGATGGGGAAAGGATGAGACATGAGGAGTAAAAAATTGGAGAAGACTACTGGAATCATTGTACTGTTCTGAATGGCTGGAAAATGAGCCACCATCATAACATATATGTGAATCATGCTGACTTGATAAACAGCAGCAAAGATCATTACCATTTCTTGTTGGGAGCTCAGATGCCAAGGAGTTTTCTTCCTGCTTTTCACTGAAACACAGGAAAAAGAGGAAGCAATTAAAACAAAGACATGCCCAAAACTATTTGTCTTTCCTGCCAAGTATAGACCCAATTAATATAATAGGGAGCAGAGGAGGGGCGTGGTCAAAGTTAGGAAGAATGGCCTTACCAAGTGAATTAAAAGTAAAATGCAGCTCTGCTGCTAAGAAGGACAGTTCTGAAACACAAGTCATCAAGGTTATGGCAATAGCATCAGTGCATAGGAAAACGACAACTTTAGAAAGTCTTCTGGAAAATCAAAAAGATGAGGCAAACAGAGGGGCTAAGAATTCTGATGTTCTCTTCCCTGACCCAGTCTACACTGAAGGGGGCAAATTTACTTGACCCTTATCTAAAGCTGTGAAATTGAACTGCCTCTGCTCAGGTCTATCACTTACCAGTAGAGGGTTGTACAAGTCCACAAGTGCAGTTACTGTATATTTTCAACACTAAGGTACTTTATTGGTAGTTGCAGAGAAATGAAAATAGGGGGCTAACAACCCTCTGTGTAATACCAGTTCAGGGGATCTGATGCCCTCTTCTGGCTTCTGTAGGCACTGCACATCTGTGGTACACTTACATGCAGGCAAAATATTCATATACATAAAGAAAATAAACCTTAAAAAAGGGCAGTTATAATTAGTAAAATTGAACTATTACTAATTCATAATGTGATTTATTAGAAATCTCCTTTTAACTTCTCTCTCACCCTCCCTCATTTTTATCACAGCCTTGCATGTAAGCCCAGGCTATCCTGAAATGCAGATCCTCCTGTCTCAGCCTAGGAATATTCTTTATGGTTTAAAAAAAAAGAAAAAAATAGAAAAAAAAATCACTGAAACTGCCTGACCCAAGCACACCTCAACTAAGTTGTTAGAACTTCTAAACTTAGAATAAGCAGCTTATTCTGTTACTGGAAATCTTAAGAGCATGGCCTCCATAGTATAGCTTTACAATGAAGGATTCTTTTACTATTATTATTTTATGTGCATGAGTGTATTGCCTGCATGTAGGTGCACCCAGGATGCACAGTGCCCACAGAGGTCAGAAGAGGGTGTTGGATCCCTTGGAACTGGAGTTACAGACAGTTATTAGCCAAGATATGGGTGCTGGGACCCAAACCTGGGTTCTCTGCAAGAACAGACAGTGCTCTTAACCTTTGAGCCATCTCTCCAGACCCTAGGATCTAATTGGTGGTTTTTTTTTTTGTTTTTTTTTTTGTTTTTGTCTTTTTGAGACAAGGTCTCTCTGTAGCCCCAGTTGTCCTGGAACTCACTATGTAGACCAGGCTGGCCTCAAACTCACAAAGATCTGTCTGCCTCTGCCTCCCAAGTGCTGGGATTAAAGGCGTGCATCACCACACCTAGCTTTTTTTTTTTTTTCCTTTTTCTTTTTGAGACAGGGTCTCCTTGCAGCCCCAGCTGGCCTGGAACTCACTATGTAGACCAGGCTGGCCTTGAACTCAGAGATCCACCTGCCTCTGCCTCCCAAAGGCGTGGTGGTGCATGCCTATAGTCTCAGCACTTGGGAGGTAGAGGCAGGCAGATGTCTTTGCGTTCCAGGCCAGATGGGGCTACAAGGAGACCCTGCCTCAAAAAAGAAAGAAAAGAAGGGAAGGAGGGAGGATTTACATAGGGCAGGTCGGATTCTGAATATTCTTTTCTTAAAATATGTATAAGAACGTTTTGTCTGCATGGAAGTGTACGACATATGTGCAGTGCCCAAGGAGGCCAGAAGAGGACATCAGATCCCCTGGAACTGAAGTTACAACCAAGTTGTTGGCTGTCATATGGGTACTGAGAACTAAATCAGTCCTCTGCAAGACCAGTCAACATTCTTAAAGGTTAGGTCAACTCTCCAGCCCAGGATTCTGAATATTCTTATAACAAGGCAGACTCTCCTGGGCAGGGGACACAGGTTAGTCAGTAAAGCATGAAACCCTAATCTGATCCCAGCAACCACACATTAACCCACACATTGAAAGTGTGGTCTAAACCTGTTAAAAAAGAGGGTCCCTGGGGCTGGAGAGATGGCTCAGTGGTTAAGAACAAATCCCAGCACCCACATGGCAGCTAACTCCAGTTTCAGGGGATCCAACAGCCTCTTCTGTCCTCTGCAGGCACTGCACAACCCAGGTGCACTTGCCTACATGCAGGCATAATAGTCATATACATAAAATAAAAAATTTTTAAAAAGAGGGTCCCTTGGGCTTGCTGACCAGTTAGTCTAGCTGAATAGGCAACCCTGTCCTTAAAAATAAGCTGAAAGGCTGGGCGTAGTGGTGTACGCCTTTAATCCCAGCACTCAGGAGGCAGAGGCAGGTGGATCTCTGTGGGTTCAAGGCCAGCCTGGTCTACATAGTGAGTTGTAGGCCAGCTGAGACTACAGGGAGACCCGGTCTCAAAAAAAAAAAAAGGTGAATTATGATCAAGAAAGACACTGACGTCAACCTCTGTCTTCCCATGCACATGCACCCCCATATGCTCACACACAAAAGGTAGATGCTTCTAGAATGTAATGATATATGAAATTTCCCAAATACATGAGGCTATCTTTTTCTTTTATGTAAAATTAAGGTTTCAGAAAATATTTACATTTCAGTTTTTCTTTATTGTTTGGGTATATTAATTACTGTACTTTCTTTCCACTTGGAGGAAAGAATTAACTCCGAAATTTGGAATAATATATAATTCTGTTGAAAGGCTGACTAGTCAATGCTTTGGTGGAAGGGGGTTGGGGAATGGAGACTAGGACCCTGTACATGTTAGGCATACATTCCACCACTGAGCTATATTCATAGTCCACAATTAATCAGAGAATTAATTTGTTCCACTTTCTTGTGATATAACAAATTTTTTTTGGGGGGGGTGTCTTTTTGAGACAGGGTCTCCCTGTCTGTAGTCCCAGCTGCCTGGAACTCACTATGTAGACCAGGCTGGCCTTGAACTCAGTGATCAGCCTGCCTCTGCCTCCCCAGTGCTGGGATTAAAGGCGTGTGCCACCACACCCGGTCATGATACAATTTTTATTTTTTATTTTTGATCTTTTTTGAGACAGGGTCTCCCTGTAGCTGGCCTGAACTCACAGAGATCCACTTGCCTCTGTCTCCCAAGTGCTGGGACTAAGGGCATGCGCAACCATGCCTGGCCATAACAATTTTTAAAATGTGTACAGTAGGGGCTGGAGAGATGGCTCAGCAGTTAAGAGCACTGTCTGTTCTCCCAGAGGACTAAGGTTCAGTTCCCAGCACCCACATGGTGACTGTCTATAAATAGTACTATAAACTGTCTATAAACTGTACTATAAATAGTACAGTAAAATCAATGTTTACCAAACACTATGTGTCAAGCACAGTTTTAATTATCTTATATTGCCATATACTGCCATGTTCAGATTTAATTCTTATTAAATGGATAACCATCACCCAATAAAATAACGGGCTCAGGGAAGGCAGATAACTTAGTAGAGAAAGGTCATGCAGAAAGGGCTTCCTGATTGCTTACCGTGTACTTGATAATTTCATGTGGACTCTGATCAGGTCTCCAAGAGCTAAGCCCTATGTTTTTACTTGGGCATAAGTGAAAAATCACAACAAAAAGGATGAAGTAAAATCAAGGTCTTTTCTGGCATGATGAAATTTTCTTACCTTGCTATAATCTCCTCCTGTAGTTTTTTCCGTTTTGGAGGTCTTCCTCTTCTTTTTCCTGTTTTTCCAGGAACATTTGAGACATTTTTTTGTCTTTCACTTTCCCTAAGAAACAGTATCATTAAATAGAAATGTTCTGGCATAGGACTGACAAGTTACATTTTCGTATTAGTAATTACAGTATTCTCTGTCACAATCATACCGAAAGGATTATGTAAAAGGGAAAGGACAAAGTGACTTCCTCTTGTCCATAGAGATTATTAGGATGTGGAACCAAGGAGAACTGATATTTACAGTAATAATGCGTAAGATCTAACACACACTTCTTATGGAACACTGCTCCTTGCAATATGAAGCCCAAATAAAACAGAAGGTAAGCATCATCCTGGATGCCATGGTAGTGAGGCCTCTGCTTATTTAGGAAGCACTTAAAAAGGCTTATATTCCAGCCATCATTAAAGATTTTGCCTTATGCTGATGGATCCTCAAACTTATATGGCAGATTATCAATTCTAATAGGAGAAATGAGGATTTAAATAATTTATTTATATATTTTTTTATGTGTCTGGGTGTTTTGCAATGCCTGTGGGGGTCAGAAAAAGGTGCTGGATCTTCTGGAACTAGAGTTAGGATGGCTGTTAGCTGACATGTGGGTGCTAAGAACTGAACCCGGGTCTTCTGAAAGAGCAGTCAGTGCTCATAACAGCTGAGTCATTTCTCTAGTCACAAAAAAAAAAAAGGATTCCTAAGGACTGCTGTATAAAGTAATCTGTGGTATAGTAGTACTTACCAAAATTATGTAATTATTTTATTTATTATTTTTATGTGTATGTATGCATTGCCTGCATGTAGGTAAGTGCACCCATGTCGTGCAATGCCTGTGGAAGATAGAAGAGGCTGTTGGATCCCCTGGAAATGGAGTTACGGACAGTTTTTAGCTGCCATGTGGGTGCTGGGATTCAAACCCAGGGCTTCTGCAAGAACAGCCAGTGTTCTTAACTGCTGAGCCATCTCTCCACCCCTTCCTCACAGTCTTTTGTCAGACTGTGGAGTAACTCTTGTATTTTTGCATGCAATTGCTCCTTGCCATCTTGCTAAAGCCTTGTCAATATGGCTAATTATTTCATTAGGAAAAACAAACTGGGAGCAGGAGATATGGCTCTTCTAGAGGACCTGGGTTCAGTTCCTAGTATCCGCAGGACTAACATTCATTGTAACAGGGGATCTGGTGCCCTCTTCTGGCCTCTGTGGGCAATGCAGGACATGGGACCACCTATATACATGCAGGTAAAACATACACATAAAATAAAAAGAAAAAAAATTTTTAAATGAAAAAATGAAGTGCTGTATATTAAATTCTAATATATTTAACTTCCACTGCTTAGATTTTTTTGTTCCCCATGTTTTTTATTCTTGGTAGTACAAACTCCAAGTAAGGACTAGGTAGCCCAGGCTACCAAGTCTTCCCAATCTAGACTTATTCTCTTCTTTCCTGAAGCCCTCTGGGATTCCAAGGAACCAGAGCAGAGTAAGCAAGTTGGGGGCTGCAGCTCAGAACTCAGCTTTGCAGACCTCCACACAGCATTTCTGTATATAGCAGTTATTATAGTCCTGATATTAGAGACGGTACCTGCTCAAGGAGAGTTCTCCATTGGACCTTCCTTGTACTGGGTCCTCTTTGTACATTCGTGTCCCATAGAAGTACCAGTAGAGTGCCCCTGAATTGTCTTCACCCAGAGGTTCTACTCGGAGACTATCTGCATCCAGACCCTAGATGAAACAAGAAAGTGGAGGTGGAAAAATGAGGAACATAAAACATGAGGAAACTAAAATGATAATTCAAAATTTACACTCAGGCATGTCCCATATTTTAATATGCCACACACTGCACCTAATTTCCTATCAGCACAGACGAAATACAGACAGAATGGGAAGGGAGTACCTTCTTTGATGAACAAGACAGTTAAGTACCTCAAATGTTCCCTACCCAACACTACTCTCATTTCACAAAAGAAAAGGGGAACCAAAAGGAATTTTAGTGACTCTCCTAAGTATTTGGTTTAGATTGTTACTTTTTTCTTGGTCTTTCTGAGACAGGGTCTCCCTGTAGCCCCAGCTGGCCCAGAACTCACTATGTAGACCAGGCTGGCCTCGAATTCACAGAGGTCTGCCTACCTTTGCCTCCTCAGTGCAGGATTAAAGGCATGCAACACCACACCTGGCCTTAGATTGTTAGTTTTATGTGTATCAGATCGATTGATCAATCTCTTTTGCTTTCAGAAAATTTTTATTTTATTTTATCTTATATGTATGTGCTGTATTGCCTGCATATAGGTAAGTGCATCCGTGTTGTGCAATGCCCACAGAGGACAGAAGAGGCTGTTGGATCCCCTGGAACTGGAGTTACAGGCAGTTGTTAGCTGCAATGTGGGTGTGAGACTCGAACCTGGGTCTTCTGCAAGAACTGCCTGTGCTCTTAACCACTGATCCATCTCTCCAGCCCCTTTCAGACAAAATTTTACTGTGTAGTCCTGAATAGCTTTGCACTCTCAGCTTTTCAAGTGCTGGTATTACAGGTTCAATAGGCACGAGCCACCACACCTGGTTTCCAATCAGATATTCTGAAGGCTTTGTCTCATATGATTCTGTACTGTAATGCTCCCAGCAACTTCTTGGATATGTGTGTATCTACAGCACTGAAAACCCCTGAGCCATCTCTCCAGCCCCAATACAGTAACTTTTTTATTTCAGCTGAAATCCAGCAAAACAACTCTCCATTTACTCCAGGACCTGGCTACACTGGCCTGCTCACTGCTATGCATTTAGCAAGGACTGGATTAAATTAATTATACAATGATTTTTATAATATGTCTGTGCATAGAACTGGACTAAGAAGTCATCAACACATTTAATCATTTATGATTGAATAGGATTAGAAACTGACCTATTTGTGAAAGCAATATCCTCCCATAATATATTTCTAAAGTAGATAAACAGCAACAGAATAAGGGGAAGAGAAGAGATTTCCACATCTTCTGTCTCCCTCTGGCTTTTTTTTAGTTGGAATGTGCATACAAAATGAATTTCACTAGCATATATATTTCAAGTCCTTGAAGATTCCAAATAGTTATTTTAATTATTGAATAAAACCCAGTGGCAAATTCACTGCTTTGTGTGTGTAAAACAGGTAGATCTTTTTGGGTTTCTTGTCTGAGCTGGGAGTCAGTACAGGTAAAGAGGCGAAACCAAAAGCCATACCTGTAGGGCTTGCATTCCCTGGGTCATGAGCATGATTGTAGATACAGCGTCATTATCAATTAAGAGCACAAAGACTGGTATGAACAAGCTAACTCTGGCTTTGCAGTACTTTTGGATTTCACATACTAAATGTTGGCTTTTTACTGCTCTAGAAAAAAAGAGCTTACTAGAAGTACCTTGAGGAGATCAAAGACATCGTCTGCATCTAGCCGGTAATCACAGAGGCGATGCAGGATCTCCACCCGAGTGCGGAGAGGAAGGTCTTGGAAACTGGCGTCCCTCAGCGGGTTGGGCTTTCCTTCTTCCAGCTCCCAGCGGTAATTGATGATGTCTTCCAGGTAGCTGTGGAATGTCTGAGGCCTAGTCAAATGGCCCCAAACACAAATATACATCACTAGACAACAGAGGATGGGTGGAAAGGGGAAAGAACTGATGGTCTGACAGCTGACAAGTTTTTGAAAAGCAGTAAGAAGAGAAGCATCTGAAGGCTTTTCACTGAAGATTTATATACTAGACTATTTATATGAATGCTGTATTAAATCCCAAAGAAGATAATCATATCAAGAGTTTCACATAGCTGGCTAACTTTATAGTAGTAGGCAAAATCTTTTGTCTTTTTGAGACAGGGTCTCCCTGTAGCCCCAGCTGGCATGGAACTCAATAATGTAGACCAGTCTGGCCTCGAACTCACAGAGATCAGCCTGCCTCACCCTCTTGAGTGCTGGGATTAAAGGTGTGCACCAGGCAATGGTCTCACCCTTTATTTATATATAGAGAGAAACTTTACAGAGTTCATAAAGACATGCATTTTAAAACCGGTTCCATGACTCATTCTTACAGATGACTTGGGTTCAGTTCCAGCATCACTTGGTGGCTAACAACCAACTCTAACTCCAGATATCCTCTTCTGGTCTCTGTGAGCATTACATAACATGGATGCACTTACACACATGCAGGCAAAACATTCATACACATAAAATAATTTTAAAAATTGGATTCGTTTCTTAGCACACACATAAAACAAAAACAAAAACACGAAAAATCTGACTTACATTAATTTACTTATATTTCAGGCTAAGATGCAAAGGCAGAAAATGCCAGAATACCAAGTCACTCATAATGTACAACTATACTATATATTAATTTTCTTTCTTTTTAAAAACAGATTTGTTTTGAGGGGCATGTGTACACTGTACCATGGCACACATGTGGAGGTCAGAGGGCAACTTGAAGTTGTTGCTTGGTTCTCTCCTTCTATCATGTGGGGTGCACAAAGATTGGACTAAGGTTATCAGGCTTGACGGCAAGTACGTTTACTCATGGAGCCATCTTGCTGGCCACTTTTTTCTTTTTTGTAAGACAGTCTCATATGTTGCCTGGGCTTGTCATCTTTAGCTCTTGAGTTCATGAGGTCCTCCAGCCTCTGCCTAAACAGGTGGGAGTACAGGTGCATACCACTGCAACTGGCTAGTCCAAATTTTGAACACAAATGTTTCAAAAAACATTCAAGACCACAGTATGGCAACCTGAACTTTTTCTAGGCTGGAGTTGGACTGACAATACTACATTTTGGGTAGTAGCTAACTATATTAAATAACTATTTGTCAGGTGGCTATTTTGCATTTCAACTGTTGAATCTAAATTCAATTTACCACATAGCATGAAATTTTGTTTCTTACTAACAAAGAGAACTGGAGAGTTGTCAGTAAAAGATATGTGAACCAGGAATAAAGGGGCTAGGTAAGGAGAAATGAAACTGGCTATGGTGAATATGAAAATTAAGAAGGAGATTTCTTTGGTTCTTTAAAATATTTTGGGGGCTGGAGAGCTGGCTCAGCAGTTAAGAGCACACTGGCTGCTCTTGCAGAGGACCCAGGCTGGGTTCCCAGCACTCACATGGCTGCTAATATCTCTCCATAATTCCAGTTCCAGAAGATCCAAGGCCCTCTTCTGGTCCCTGTAGGCACTGCAGGCACATGGCATACATACAAAACACTCATACACATAAAATAAAAATAAATTTAAAAAATAAATTTTTTAAAGTTGCTAGTCATGTGAAGAATACATTTTGGAAATAAACCTTTTTTTATTGTATATGTATGAATGTATTTCCTGCATGTGTGTAAGTACACAGGTGTCATGCAATGCCCTTGGAGTTCAGAAGAGGGTGTTGGATTCCCCTGGAACTGAAGTTATGGATGGTTGTTAGCTGCCATGTAGATGCTGGGAATCAAACCCGGGTCCTCTTCAAGAGCAACCAGTGCTCTTAACCACTGAGCCATCTCTGCAGCCCCATATTATGTGCTTTCAAGAATTTCTAGGGCCAGGGGTGGTGACAACCACCTTTAATCCCAGAGGCAGGAAGAACTCTGTGCATTCCAGACCAGACACAGTGAGTTCCAGGCCATAGCCAGGACTACATAGTGAGTCCCTGTTTCAAACAAACAAACACGAGCAGAGAGACTAGAGAAATAGCTTAGTAGTTAAGAGCATTTGCTGTACATTCATGAGGACCAGAGTTCACATCTCAGCACCCATTTAACAAGGCAAGAGAAATGAACATGCCTTTAATCCCAGCTCCAAACAGGTTAGAGACAGAAGGATTACTGGGGCTTGATGTCTTCCAGCCTAGCTAAGAAAACAGGAGCCCTAGGTTCCGGGAGAGACCCTGCCTCAAAGGAATTAGCAGAGAGTGATAGAGGACACCCAGCAACCAACCTCTTCTGGTCTCTGTGTGTGCACAAGTGAGTATACCCCTCTACATGTACATATACTCACAGTGGCACATAAACACACAAATAAATCTTAAAAAGAAAAAAATGAACACAAACACTATTTAGCATAAACACTGTATTTTCAGATTTGATCCCAGGGTCCCACATGGTGGAAGGAGAAAACATTGGCAAGTAGTCCTTATATCTCCACATGTGTGCTGTGGCACATGCACTCTGTGAGACATGTGATTACACATGCATGCATGCATGCTTAACATGTACATGTGCAAGCTACCCACACCAAATAAATTTTAAAAATTTAGGGAAAAAAAAAAGAAAAACATTTCATTTGAATATTTTAAAAAGAAGATCAAATCAACCGAGCAAGTGATGGCAACTATGATCCCAGCACTGGGGAGACTGAGGCAGGAGGATCATGGTGAGTTTGAGGCTAGCGTAAACCACATACTGAGACCTTGCTCAAGAAACCACCCAAACAAAAACCAAGTAGAAGTTCTGAATATAGCAAGGTCTACTTTGTCTGTTGCTCCTGCCTTGACCCCTCAAGTGCTGGGATTACAGACCCAAGATACACCCATGCACAGCTTCCACCTGCATGTGGAGGTCAGAGGGCTAAAGATGGGAGTTAGTTCTCTCCTCATTATTTGGGTCCCAGGGATAGAACTCGGTTCATTAGACTTGTCAGCAGGCACCTTTACCACTGAACTATCTCACCAGTCCCAAATCTTCTTAATGACTTATTTTCTCATTAATGCTCTATCCTACAAAATACTAGGAAAAACAACTGGTTGTTATTTAATATCAAATGAAGAGTGAGATGAAATCAGCTCCCAATTAAAACTGTTTTTCATAAGAAAGGTTATGGTCAACAGGGCAAATATGAAAATGAGCTTAACCCTAGCAGTGAGCTGGGCCAACTCGGATATAATATATTCCAATAGCAGACCCTGAATGCTATTTTGTTTCCTAATCCTTTACTGTTTAATTGGCAGCAAGTTTTTTTTTTAATATTTTATTTTTATTTGATGTGTATGAGTATATTGCCTACATGTAAGTACACCATATGCATGCCAGATGCCTGGATAGGCCAGAAGACAGCATCAGATCTCCGGAACTGGAGTTAAGGACAGTGTTAGCTGCTATGTGGGTACTGGGAACCCAACCCAGGTCCTCTGCAAGAACAGTTAAGTGCTCTTACCTGATGAGCCATGGCTCCTGCTCTCAAGTGCTGTTTTTCAAGAGAGGTGGCCTGAAATTTGCAATGTAGATCAGGCTGTCTTTGATCTCATACAGATCCACCTGCCTCTGCCTCCTGAGTTCTGGGATCAAAGAAGTGCATCAATGTACATAGCAAGTGCTATGTTTTAACATGATGAGTCTCAGGCAGCAGAACTTGTGACTAGGTGGAGCAACAGATTTTAACAACTGCAGTGTTCTTTGGGAGATCACAGATTTTAAGTATTTTATTATTATTATTATATTTTGGTCTTTTTAGAGACAGGGTCTCCTGGTAGCTCCAGCTGCCTGGAACTCACTCTGTAGACCAGGTTGGCCTCAAATCCGCCTGTCTCTGCCTCCCAAGTGCTGGGATTAAAGGTGTGCGCCACCACATCTGGCAGTATTTTATTATCTTTATTTTATTTTATGTGTACAAGTATAGATACCTGCATGTAAGTGCACTTGTGTCATGCAATACTTGTGGAGGTAAGAAGAGGGTATCAGGTCCACTGGAACTAGAGTTACATATGGTTTTTAGCCACCATATGGGTGCTGGAAACCAAACCTGGGTCTTCTGCTAGAGCAGCCAGTGCTCTTAACTGCTGAGCCATCTCTCTAGCCCTATAAAGGTCATTTTAAAAGTAAAATAGATAAGAGTCTAAGTACGGTTTGTATGAAATGTAAAGTCTGAAGTGTTTACCTTGAAGAAACAGACACAGGCACGAAACCAATACAAGAAGTGATATGCTTAATTCATTTGGCCTGAAAGCATTCCAAGGGATCACCAGAGGAACAAAGGCATAAAGAACTACCTGGAAAGATGCTCAACATCAGGGGCTTTCCAATATGTGTATGAAATCATGATGAAATATTACTTCATACCTATTATGATGGTGAGCATCAAAAACACTCTGACCAAGTACCAAAATGTGCTGACCAAGATATAGAGAAATTAGAATCCTTGTATACTACTGACAGGAATGTGAAATTGTACAGCTGCTTTTGGAAGGTTTGGAAAATTGCTCAAAAAATTAAAGAACAACTGAGCATGGTAGTATATCTGTAATTCCAGCACTTGAGAGGCTGAGGCAGGATGATTGTAACTTCAAAGCCAGTGTGGGCTACATAGGAAGTTCCGTATTAAACTGGGTTACACGACAACATCATGCCCCCTACAACTCTCCAAAAAAGAAAAAAGTTACTCTATGATCTAGACATTTCTACTGGGAGATACACAGAGAAATCAAACAGAAGTTTACACAAAAACTTGTACACTGATAGTCAAAACAGCCCAATTCCTAACAACTTGAAAAGGGAAATTGTGTAATGATTGTTCTTTAACTGATGAATAAACAGAAGACCAAAATGTATATCCACACAGTAAAGCATTATTTGTCCCACAAAACA